AGGAAAGGAAAGGAAAGGGATGGATGAGACAGGACAGGACAGGAATAGACAGGACATTTAGGAAAGGAAAGGAAAGGGATGGATGAGACAGGACAGGACAGGAATAGACAGGACATTTAGGAAAGGAAAGGAAAGGGATGGATGAGACAGGACAGGAATAGACAGGACATTTAGGAAAGGAAAGGAAAGGGATGGATGAGACAGGACAGGAATAGACAGGACATTTAAGAAAGGAAAGGAAAGGAAAGGGATGGATGAGACAGGACAGGAATAGACAGGACATTTAAGAAAGGAAAGGAAAGGAAAGGATGAGACAGGACATGACAGCAATAGACAGGACATTCAGGACATGGCATGAAAAGACAGGAAAGAAAAAGACAGGACATAAAAGGACAGAATAGAACAAGGCAGGAAAGGAAAGGAATAGGTACTGCTCCTATTACATAAAGCCATCTGACACCTGTCAACTGTCCCTATCCATATCACTAAATTAATTTAGGATCAGAATTAGATCACTTAGCTTGGTAGTCAATAACTATCTTCAATACTTTTGGTTACAATGCAGATGTCTGTCTGATCTCTCACTATTATCTTTTCTCCCTCTTCTGTTGGACCCCAGTCCTTCCTGCTCCTCAGTTCAACACCAGCTCTCCCAGCAACAGCAGTATCCTGGTGAAGTGGGAGCCAGTGAATCACGCTGTCCTCTACAGTCTCAGCATCATCAAGGATGGCTCGTACAGCAAAATTAGCCTCAATATCACAGAAACTCAGGTTCACTTTCCAGACCTGGAGGCAGGAACCAAATACTGCATTAAAGGAAATGCCTGGAGTCCTGAGAACATTCCCGGAGATGACTTCACAGTTTGCCAAATCACACGTAAGACAATAGAGATGGAAAGAGAGAGTTTACTTCATGCTTAAGTAGGCAGAAACTGTTACACTTGATACACACAGTTTCTGTCATACCTGTAAATACTGTAACACTTAAGGAAAAGAAAGGGGTCAGTAAAAGAGCAGCCAACAGAGCATGCGCACCAAGTACAGCATGTTAGGCAGAGTTGTCCAATTCTGCTCCTTGGACTGCAAAACCTGTCACAGAGTTTAGCTTCTGTTTAACACACCAGGGGCCGGTTGCATAAACTTAGCCTCTATGTTAAAACAGTGTCTTAAGAAGTAGTTTGACCAACTAGCAGTTATCCAAAAGGTAATCAGTCTTATATTTTGGATTCAGCTTAGATCTACGTTTTGATGTAACCGAATTTTAACAATTTTGACCAGTCTTAAAGAACAAAATTAGATGACTAACTTTTGAATGAATGAAAGTTTCTGATATAGGCCCAAGGCCTTGATTACCTGGTTCAGGTGTTTAATTATGCTTGAAGCTAAACTGTGCAGGACAGTGACCTTTCAGGAGCAGGAATGGACACCCCTGAGGTTAGGAAATCTTCACAGCTAAAACTCTGCGATAGCTGGCACATTAAACTTTGTGTGTGTGTGTGTGTGTATGTCTCCACAGGTCCTCCCACTCCTCAGTCCATTGAGCTGGTGGTGACAAGCACCCCTGATGCTGGTATTGTGGTGTCGTGGGACCCAGCTAAGGGTGCAGAGCAGTATGTCGCCTTGAGCTTGACCGGACAGAACTGCTCCTCATCTACTAACTCCTGCATCCTGATTCCTCTGAGCTGTGGAGAGACAAACTCTGTCACAGTGATCACTATCAACCAGGCTGGAAACAGTGTCCCCTCATACCCAGTACAGATTATTTCATGTGAGTAAACCCATTCACACATGCAAGTTTGTCATATCATCGATAACAGGACTTTCTTCCTCAGTTTGATGTACTATGTCAAGGGTGTCCAATTCTTCTTCTGAAGGACCACTTTCTTGTAGATTTGAACTCCCAACACAACTGCCTGGAAGTTTCTAATGATCCTAAAGACCTTGATTAGTTGGTTTAATCAGGGCTTGAGCCACTCTGCAGGATAGGGGGGGGGGCTTTAAGAGCCGGAATGGAC